CTCCTTGGTACCACAGTAATACTAGTGTACATATGTCGATATGCAGATATGGACCAGACGTGCTGATCGAGCTAAGGGCTGATATTGCTCTGGCACTCAAGATGTAGTACCTTGGTTAGAACATTACTTAATGTTAAGCTACACAAACTTTGACTCTTGGGAATAGGCAATGACCTGACACAAACACATTACTTAAATTTGATGTAGTATTGTATGCAAGGCACATTCAAGAACAATAAATATAATTTTGTGAACCCTAAAAGAGTAGCAGACAAGTCAGTTTGTAGTCCAGGCTTGTGCAACTAGGAACCAGCCTTCTAGATAGTCTTTTATGGACATGGACACAGACTTGGATTTGGAAGTGTACCACATGGTAAAAGACTTGAATGTGCCTTGCATACAATACTATTTAGATTGGAAAAGAAAAGGAGGGGATTACATAGAGAAAGAGGAGTCCTACATGGTAAAAGATTGTTTAGATTGGAAAAAGGTAGAAGTTGGATATAGACTTGTATCCATTTTCAACTTAAAAGTCAAATTGAATAAAATGGAGGGGATTACATAGAGAAATACTATTATAAATTATAAAAAAAGTTACATCTTTATATTAGAGATTGTGAACCATTAAGAAATTAACTTGTAAGAAGCCTGAAGACCCAAAATCGTCCGGTTTTAAATGACATTATGGTAAAATTGGATGCTATTGCAGCGTCTCCTATGTGACACTAGAACTCTACAATCAGAGTTCTACTTGTGAAAGCCTGTCCAGCATAAATCATGGGGAAGATGCAGCAATGCAGGTAATATCACATAATACTGATCCTAAATTCCATCAAATGTGAGAACTACAGGAATAACATGAAATCACAAAAGCAGAATTCTTCATTTTAGAAATATAAATATGCCATGAGAATTGGATGCAACCTTCAAATAACAAAAACAAGAAAAAAAAATCTAAAGAAACCAAATATCCTCCAACAAAACTACCTACAAAATCATGAACATGATTTTGATAAAACTCAGGCATATGAGTTTGTCACTAATAAATGCACTAAGTTTATACTTCAATCTGCTTGTATAAGAAGCCCAAAAGAACCTCAAATTTTCACAACATCAAAAGTATTATTAATCCAGTGATTGACCATCTCGAATATAAAGCCAATTAAGCTGTTCCCTGTAGCTATGGCTTTTCATATCAAAGTCCACTAATTCATGCTTAACAGAAGGACAACATACTCATTTAAGAGTTGTCAGATCTCTCTACCCCCTTGGAACACAGTGATATGAGGTGGCCATCCAAAACATCACAATGATTTTGCAGTCATACATGATCCCGATCATTGAAACTAAAACAATAAATTCCATAGTTATTGTTCATTTTGCAGTTACAAACTAGCACTTTCCTACTCTAAAGCAGTTCAAGAATCGCTTAATACAACAAGGCACAAAATTGAAAGTGTTATTAAGTTGAAAGCTTGAAGTTATCCACCCACACTTATTTTGACATAATCAAACAAGAAAAGCCATTGACTAGCAAGACCAGGATAACTAACACACTCTACTGAATAACCTAAGATGTCCAACACACACCACGCCCAAAAAATGAACCAACAAATATGAACTCATACCATCAACCAAGGAAAAATGAAGTATTTCACCCGTGTACATAATCCATAATTTGGGATGTTCCACATGCTAGAGGATTGTGAAAAAAAAGGTTACAAACAACATGCAATAAAACCATAATTTACAAAAGGATTCTCAGTGGAAGGAATTGACATACTTTAGGCATCTAATGTAGAATAAGGCAATTGTAATAGAAAACAACATAACAAAACCTACAACTTTATTATATTACAAAAACAGAAGAAAAACAAATCCCTTCCAGAGAGAATTTGGCTACAATATTAAGGAATAAAATGTGGAGGAAAAAGGAGTAACAGCCACGTTTTTCAACAGGCACCTTAGTGCAACCCCTTTGACACTGAATCAACAGATTTCATGTTGACTGCAAGAAAGAGGAGGATACACACTGGAATAAAGGCAGACCAACAAATTAACAGTTGAAACTTATAAAGAACATAGTTCGATAGAAGGCTAACAGAACACTTCTACAACCAACTTGTATAACTACCAAGTCATGAGTATCACATAAATTTGACCAAAAAACTGGCTAACCTTCTGGTGCAAGTTTATGTTAGATACAGCACAAATCAAAATTGACGACAAAAGAATTACTATAATATTGAACATTCACTTAAGTAGTTGTATAAAAAAGTGGACGATACTGCAGAAGCAAACCAATGTCACACATTAATACATTATATGAACAAAAGAAATGCATTTAAACAATAATTCTGACTGCTAACTACATTGTAGTATTGTACTACCTCAAAGGACAAACCACTAACATATATTATGAGATAACCATCTCCTGTATTGATTACCTGAAGAAAGTTGTCAAAGCTCATTGCACAAGAATGTGTTGCATCAGAGGGATCCTTCGGAGTAATTTTAATGTTTGCTCCGGTCTTGGATCTCAGTTTCTTGATGGTAGCCCCAAACTTACCTATAATATTTGCAGTTTGGCTTGCTGGCACAAGGATATGAGCCCCTTCCTGTTTCTTTTCAATCTCACTAGAATTAGCCAGAGCATTTACTATAGCATCATGAACCTTAAGCAAGGCATCCTGGGCAGGGCAGAGAGGCTGCAGGACATCTTCATCAACATCCACAGGACTCTTGTCCTTAACGTAGCAATAGATAGTGATAACCCTTTTATCCACACCAGGAAAAGGATTGACAACTTTGATTTTAGCATTTGTCTGTTGCCTGATGGAATTTATCACTTTACCACTCTTGCCAATCACACTCCCAATAACACCAGCTGGACAAAGAACACGATATACAACCAATTCATCACTGATGATATCCTTGTTACCCAATCTTTTCTTCTGCTGTGCACCTTCATTGTCAGGATCCCTCTTCTGACGCTTTCCCAGTTCAAACATGATCCGGATAAAGAAATGAATATAGTACACACAAGAAAATATCACCAGCAAACTTTGAATAATTAATCCTGAGATTACATTATAAGCATAAATCATGAGACTATGATCTCTATAGTTGAAATAGAGAATAAAGATGGAGTGACTAAAAAGAGAAAAAAACACCAGTAGGTAATATTAGATATCAGATAGAGAATAATCAACTCTGAAGGAGCATAAGAATTATAAAATAAACAGGAGGAAGTTTCAGAAAAGCAAGTTCCAAAAAATTATATAATTTGATAAAACACAGTCCAGTTACAGACTAGTTTTACCTTGTATGACACTATGACAATTATATCACCTCATCAAAAGCTGCTTTTGACGATTAAAAAATAGTGACAAATCATCAAAAACAAAGTCGAAGCCTTTCAGTTTCAGGGATTTGCAATTTGCAAAAACAGATTACTGAACCTAGAAACTAAAGTTATCAGCATGTCATCACCAGTCCTATAATGTAGAATCTGCCAACTATGTGATATCCAACCTGATGAAACAAATTCCATTAAATGAAAATGTCCAATTGACAATAAATGGATAGGTGTGTCCATCCATATTCGGACCACTAAAATTTCGTGCATGTGTTCATTGATATAGAATTGAAAGAGGATAAGACAGGATAAAATTAGATCAAAGTGTTATTGAGAAGTGCTATTAAATAGTGGAAAAATCAGTAAAGAGGAATGATATATAACATGAAGTCAAATAAAATACAATATCCACAATACATTTCACCAGTATTAGGCGGATAACTGATGTTTAAAAAACAAGAACCAATTAATTTTACTAGCGCTCTAGTAATACGACAAACTAGCAAAAACCTACGAACTCGAATTAGAGCACTAAAATGAAGCACTCCTGAAACAGAGGAGTCCTTAATCGAACAATAAAGGCCGATGAACTTCGCGAAAATAAGCAATAATGAAACAATAAATAAACAACATTTAAATCACAACAATAAAGATTGATGAGCTTCAAGAAAAAGGCAATAACGAGGAAAACACAATTCATTAGAACGATAAAGACCGACGAGCTTCAAGAAAATAGGCAGCGAGAACAAGATTCATTATATCGACAAAGACGACGAGCTTCAACGAAAAGGGGAATAATGTGGGCAAAAATATTTTGGATCCGCTCCACAGATCAAAAGCACGCATAGACCAACGAAATCTCGAATCGAAGTACGATTGAAACCCTACCTGCGGACATCTACGAATCAACAGAAGGAGAGACTCCATAACCCTAACCCTGCAGAAGGATGGATTCATGCCAAAGGGTTTGGGCGTACCTGCGAGGGAAAGAAGAAACCCTAAGCGTAGGCAGCGTTGGGAGACAGAATCGCGCGAGATTAACTGCGCTTGGGGGTTTGGATTCTCTCAATCTTAGAGTTACCGATGACCTTAAACCGGTACACGTTATAAAAGTTGTGCCGGTATGTTTCCTGTACGACGGCGTTATAATATGCATAGCAGATGTTACAATTTGTTACGTTTCGTTACAATATGTATGATAAGGTGGAACATGTGTATAACACTTTTCGTATCGATCATCTTTTATGTGATAAAAATAAATTATATTCAACAAATTATATATATAATATTAGTTTAGTTGTGATGTATGTGACCCACTTACGTTCGAATCACTTGAAATTTTATAGAATCTTAGTCAAGTCCTCTTAATCACACACAAAAAAATGCTTTAAGAATATATAGAATAAACCCCTCAATATTCATCTATCATATGATTACCCCCAAAACAGTAAAATAATATGCATATATTAAGTCTAAATCGATTATATATATATATATATATATATAGTCGGTTCACCAGAACATCCTTCGTGTGCCGACTTGCGCTACAACTCTCCTAAATGTGCACCACCTCATCAAGTCGTGACTTAATTCGTGGCAACGTGGATGACCGTCACCACAAAAAGAGAGAGAAGTCGATGTGTGTCCAATCTCGTGCTACAAAAGGCTTTACATTGACGGCGCCTCGATGCGCGTTGATCCGTCGACCAACACCCGCTCCTGCCGATCTCCACTGCCGCCGCCGTCCCCTCCCTCCGACCACCTCTTCGTCCTCGTCCACCGCCGGCCCTTGGGGAACCGACCCCTAAAGAGGTTTGCGACCTGTCTATTGCTTTAGATGTTATCTTGACTCCGTTATAACGCTCAAGGCATCTGAGATATATCATTGTAAGATTCAAACAGATTAAGTGAGATTTAGGCATAAGGTTAGATTGTTCAATCCCCATCTAGGGTTTAATTTTTAGCTCGTCATGAGAAACTCTTGGAATTTTTTTTCCCTTATTTGGAAGTTGATGTTGATTTATGAATATTTTTTTCAGGTTCGATCATGGTTCTCTCTAGGCTTTCGCTGCTCGGTGCCAGGATATTAAGGGAGTCAAGATTAGGTAACGTTTTAAGTTTTCTTGTTTTGTTTCTGAAAGTTTTACTGTGCAGACAAGGTTGCTGCTTTTATGCCTAAATCAGTTCGCTACTTTCAAGTGTTTGAGGCTTGGTTGGAATCGAACATGCGTACGTGTTTATAGTGATGGTGTTGTTATTTGTGTTTCGCCCAGAGCAGGTGTTGGAACTGTAGATTTGTAACTTGTCAATTTTGGCAGTGATCTAGCTTTGATATGTTTGTGGAGCTTGTTTGATGATTTACTTGAGGGTATATTTAGCACTTATTTTATGTAAATTTGGGAATACACACGCTGAACATATGACTGATCTGAGTCTTGACATGAAGCTTGAACTATCATATATTTGAGCCAGACATTTATAAACGTCTTAATTTGGAATATGAAAATAATGCAAAAGTGCAAGAGTGCAAGCTGATACTGACACAAATAGGCTTATCATCAACTGGCTTTTAAGTAATCGTGTATAATTATTTTTTAGTTTGTTGTAGTCTAACTGTATCTAGTTAGAATATAATGAAAAATGCAAAAAAGCAAATAATTTGGAATATGAAAATAATGCAAAATGCAAGAGTGCAAGCGGATACTAACACAAATAGGCTTCTCATCAACTGGCTTTTAAGTAATCGTGTATAATTATTTTTTAGTTTGAAGTAGTCTAACTCTATCTAG